AACCTGAGCTGAAGGCAGACGCTTAACCGGCTGAGCCACCCAGGTGCCCCAGGATAAGTAAAATATTTAAAACACTAAATGAACAGGTCAAAAAACAAATTAGAGGGAGTTAATAAGCTAGAAGATAGATTGTAGAAATTATTCAGAATATAATACAGAGAAACAAAGAAATGTTAGGAAATAGGAATGATGCAATGAGAAGGTCTAACATACAGACAACTGGTTTCTAGAAGAAAAGAATGGAGAAGATGGAAAAAGATATTATTCAAAGATAAAGTACCTGAGAAATTTCCCAGAATTGATGAAAAATATGAATCCTTTGATTCAGAAATCAGAATGAATCCTAGGAATAAAAACAAATAAAAAAATAAAAATAAATTTACCCTACACTCTTTTTAGGGAAACTACAGGAGATCAAAGATAGGGAGACTATATTAAAAGTATCCAGGGGCTCCTGGGTGTCTCAGTCAGTTGAGCATCCAGCTCTTAATTTCAGCTTAGGTCATGGTCTCAAGGTTATGAGATGGAGCCTTGTGTTGCACTCCATGCTGGGCATGGAGCCTGCTTGGGATTCTCTCTCTCCCTCTCCCTCTGTTGCTCTCCCTCCCTGCTCTTGCTTTCTCTCAATAAAAAAAAAAGTATCTACGTATCCAGAGAGCAACTCAGATGAACAACCAATGACTGAAGGCAGTAGGTGAAATGGATAAACAAACATTGTACATCAATACATGAACTATTCAGAGCTAAAAAGAAATGAGCTATCAAGACATGAAAAGATGAGGAGGAAACTTAGAAACTTAAATGCATGTTACTAAGTGAAAGAAGCTAATCTTGAAAAGGCAGCATACCGTGTGATCTCAAGTACTATATGACATTCTGGAAAAATGCAAAAAAATTCTGCAAAACTGTGGAGATAGTTAAAAAGATCAGTGATTGGCAGGGGTTATTGGGGAGAGAAGAATGAATAGGTGGAGCACAGGAATTTTAGGAGTGAAACTATTCTGTATGATCCTATAATGGTGGATACATTTGTCCAAATCCATATAATGTACAATACCAAGAGTGAATCCTGATGAACTCTGAGTGATAATAATGTTAATATAGGTTCATTGATTGTAACAAATGTACCACTCTCATATGGGATGTTTGATAGAGTCAGTGTTTAGGTGTCAGGGGGTCTTTTAGGGTTCCCAGACCCAATGTGGAGGGGTTCCCCTCACAAAACACCAGGCAATACTTGGATATCAGCAGGGTGTCCAAAAGTTTAATTCAATTCTGACACTATCTACCCAGAGATAACATAAGATTCCACAGGTTAAAGGTTCAGTCCTACAAGATTCCCCCCACCTCCCACTTAAGACACGAGTTCCAAGTTCCAGGCTATTACCTGTGCTTCTAACCTTCTAGCTACAGACTGGAGATTCCAACAACCTCCTCCTTAGGTTGGATTAATTTGCTAAAGTGGCTCACAGAACTCAGGGAAATACTTACGTATGTCTTCCAATTTGCTAAAGGATATGATAAAGAAAAAGATACGAAAGGATATGAATCGACAGTCAGATGAAGAGATACATAGGGCAAGGTCCCCAAAAAAGGAGCTTCTGTCCTTGCAGAGGACATGCCCACATGCCATGGGGCCAGGCTTTCCCCAAATGTGAAAGCTCTTTGGAAAAAAAAGACCAAAAAGCTGTCCTCTTGGGTTTTTATGAAGTTTTCATTACATAATCATGATTGACAAAGTCATTGGCCATTGGCTGATTCAACCTCCAGCTCCTTCCTCCTCCCTGAAGGTCCAGGATGGGACTGAAAGTTCCAATCATTTAATCCCATGGTTTGTCCATGTAGCAATCAGACCTTCCCTAAGGTGGGGTCCAAAAGTCACCTTCAGTAATAAAATACCCATTTCACTTTTATGGCTCTGTAGCATTTTCAGGAACTGTGGAGGAAGACCAAATATATCTGAGAAATACATGACCAAATACATATTTCTTATAAATCATTATATCATAGGAGGTAAATAGGAGTTTTCTGTATTTTCCACTCAATTCTGCTATGAATCTAAGACTACTCTAAATCTTTATTTATTTATTTATTTATT